CCCCCCCCAACCCCCCCCCGCGCCACGAAATCTGCACTTCATCTCCGCCACCCGCGCCTGCCACGAAATCTTTCTCTTTGCTTTTCTGCTCACTGCACCAAACTGTTGTGATAGTCTGACACCTACACTATTCCAACGCAAATCTGTCTACCTATCCATTTGTCTGTCTATATCTATTTATCTATCTCAATCTCTCGATCTATCTATTTTTCTATCTTTCTTTCTATCTTTATTTCTTTCCTATCTATCTATCTATCTGCACTTCAACATCCACAAAGTCCTTCACCTGCCACGAAATCGAAATCGGCACTTCAAGGCCCGCAAAGCACTGCACCTGCCACGAAATCTGCACTTCAAGGTCTACAAAGTCCTGCGCCTGCCACGAAATCTGCACTCCAAGTCCCACAAAGTCCTGCACCTGCCACCAAATCTGCACTTCAACATCCACAAAGTCCTGCACCTGCCACGAAATCCGCACTTCAACATCGACAAAGTCCCGCGACGAAATGTGCATTTCAAGGTCCACAAAGTACTGCACCTGCCACGACATGTGCATTTCAAGGTCTACAAAGTCCTGCGCTTGCCACGAAATCTGCACTCCAAGTCCCACAAAGTCCTGCGCCTGCCACGAAATCCGCACTTCAACATCGACAAAGTCCTGCGCCTGCCACGACATGTGCATTTCAAGGTCCACAAAGTAGCATTTCAAGGTCCACAAAGTACTGCACCTGCCACGAAACATGAAAAACAAAAAAACCCTTAAAAAAAACTAGACGACAGGGTGGCCCGAAAGCAAGTAGGCGGAAGAGAACAAATAGAAGGGAAGAAAAGCGAAGTAACAGAAGATGAATGAGCACTAAAGAAATGAAGAGATGATATATGATGATTCAAAACATTAAGATGAAACAAAATGAGATGATGATGAGATGACACAATATATAATAAAAATATATATATCTATATATATATATATACATTATGATTATGATACTATTATCACGTTATTACCAAATCTATTAATGTATATTCTGTTGCACTGTACTTCGGAGCCCAAACGGTAGTCCCGGTCGATTCTTTTTTATCCAGCGCCGGTCGAGCTCAAACGCTAGTCCCGGTAGTAAGAGCCGCCGAAGTGTGCGAAATCGCACGTCCCAACCTGGCATCAGGACAACCAATGCTCATACAAATGCAACACTTGAAAAACAAAACAAATTACCCACAGTTCAACTCATGTTGTTTTGTCGGTTATCAGATATAGTTGCACACCCAGTCGGAACAGGATCGACTTCGAACAACTCTCGGTCGAGCGATGACACAGGAACACCTTCGAGCCAGAATTACAATGGGGGAACGCTCCGGGCACAGACTATGGAATCGCATTTCCCAATGAGTATGAAGTCCGCAGCGCACATTCGCGACATCCTT